CGCAAGGGTCTCTGAACCCCTATCAAACCATGACCGCGCCAGCTACCCCCCAGAACGCAGGATACCTGGCGCAACCGCAATACGGATATCAAGCATCCGCACAGCATCTAGCGCCGCAGCCCACCGGCCGCGTCGACAAGAACAGCATCCTCTCCCTCTATCAATTCTCCCCGCAACCTTCCGCCACCCCAGAGCAACCTCAATACCGACCTTCCACGGCCGTGAACCCTCCCACTCAGACCGGTCAGCCTTCACCCTTCAATACCATGCCGCAACAACAACAACAACCACAACCTTTCAACACCATGCCCCAACAACAACAGCAGCAGCAGCAGCAGCAACAACAACAACAACTCCAACCTCAACAACAACAAAGCAACCCCCTCACAGACCCCCTATCAGCAAGCGGCACCCGCAACCCCTTCTTCACCACAGCCCCCCAACCAGGAGCTCCCTCCTCGGTCCCAACTACCACCGCACAAGTAACAACAACACCCTACCTCACCACCACCGCCCCACCCCCACAGCAACAGCAGCAACAACAACAACAAACACTCAATGTCTACGGAGGAATGCCCAACAAGTCCACCGGCTTCCCACGAGGTCACATGAGCCAGCAAAGCGTCGATATCAACGGCTTCCAAAGCGGACGACACAGTCCCGATGCATTTGCCAGCTTGAGTGCGCGATATGGATAGTTTCATCCCTTATCTTTCACTTTTGGAGAACAAATCTATATATCTTCTATCTATTGCACATTCTTCCTTTGATCTTATATATATAACCATTGTTGCCTTTACTTGTGAACTCGTCGACTTGGACTTCCACTATTTTTTATATGGATTGGAAGGGAATCTGGACTTGGTGAGGCGAGTGTAAAGTAGATTAGTTTAGCTGATTGCATTTTTGGCGTTGCGTTTGTTTTTTTGTTTCTATGTTTTGAGGGTTTACGCGGTATATATCTATATTCCTATATTTGGTTTGTAGTTGGTCTGGTGGTGCGATCATTAAGTATCAACTACTTATATCTTTCTTCATTTTTCTATTTTTGTTTTCAGCCGGCTTTTTCTGTGGTGGAAAAGTATATAGTGGTTCGTTCTTGCCCTGTTCACTTCGTCGGGGAAATTGTTGCATAGAGATAAAACGTTTCTAGTTGTTGGATATTTATTGGATATTAGCAGGGCAAAATTCAATTATATAGCGACTTGGGTATATGGTATATGGTATTTTGAATAGGATACAACGTAACAAAAGCTTCCGTATCAAACTATGTAAAGGTATCCGAGGTATTATTCCAAAATGTTCACAGATGAATATACAGCTTAGTATAGTGACACAGATCATATCTTCCCGACTATATGTGCACGCATCAAGCTACTAAGCCCAATTTGCCCGATCGTTCATCCGCCGGTTCAGCTCTTCCCAGGCGGGAAATGACCAAGATGATGATTTTCTTGACGATTTTGAGAACGGCCAGGCCGGCAACTCAAACCCAAAAATGGTTGTGCGTTTGCGGCGCTGCCATGGCCATGACCACGACCAGGACGATTGGGACTGGCTTGAAAATATGGATTTCCAGAACTGCGTTAGACGTTGCTTGTGCGTGGGCTTGGTGAAAGCTTGCACGATGCGATCGAAGTGAAGATCCCGGCTCTCGCGCTGGCGTTGTATATATACACTGTCCCGGGCGGCTTGTTCGGACGGATCAACACACCAGACGACGATATCGCCCCGACGGCGCCAGTCGTCATGCCAGGCGGTGTTCCAGGTGCGGTGGCATTCCTTATATGCGGAGAAGCGGAGGAGACTCTGGAGGGTGGGTTCTAGTTGGGCGAAGAAGATGAGGTAATCGGGCCATTCGTGCGGGGTTTTGGACTGATACTGTGTGGGCAACTGCGAAGATTTCCAATTATACTTGTCATAGGATGGCCTTCGAGGGAATCGGCGCAGACCGCCAACCATGTTCGTGCGCAGAAACTGCTCAGGATCGGCGTAGAACTGGTCCGCCTCGTCCAAGTACGTAGCTTTCTCGGACGCGTCGAGGCCGACAGGAGGCTCGCAGGATAGTGCCCAGGCGCTGATGGTGGGGTAGACCATATGTGAGCGCCAAGGAGTGCTATGGCAAGGCATGAGGAACCCGGCTGTGATCCCGGGCTGAGAAGTATCGGTCATATCGTTGGAACCATGTATTTGTCGCTGGTCCCGAAGGTAGGACAACACGGCCGCTGGGCCGGATGCATGGATGACCGTCGTATAGAGCGCAATGACGGCGTTCGCCAGTAGCAAGAAAACCAAGGTGAGCCGTCTGGGGGTGTGTCTCTGACTTCCCGCCGTGACCGCGGGACGGAAGAAATTCACCAGAGCAGGTGCAGTGAGGACATGCAGCGAGGGCAGCAATGGATAAATGAATCGCACCTCCTTGTGCGATATCTGCGACAACCCAATGATCATGATGAGGCACACCGAAGCAAGCTGAACCTGCATCGAAGCCTGCAACTCGCTAAGTTCACCCGATCGCGGTCGGGTTACTGAATGGTATAAGCCCACAACGGCGAAGGGCAAGGCTGTAGTCAAGAGGAGGGGAAGCCCCTGGGACAAATAGTAGTGCCAATCATTCTTTCCATAGAAGACCGCCAGCGATTGGGCAAGGTTGAAGTACAGGAACCGTAGGGGTGGGAAAGTCCAGAATCCGTAGAAGAACCGATCTGCTGTAGTTGACACCGCCAAAACAGCTGAGCTGTAAGAGTGTTAGAAGTAGTTGCGTACTTGAAACAAATGGAGGGAACCGTTAAGCTCACCCGCAGAGTAGAGCTTCGCGGACAAGCGTCGCCCGTCGAAGGGGAGTGCTCCGGTACAACAACAGGCTAGCAAGTACCATCCAGATCAGAACGTTGGTGGGTCGCAGTATACATGCCACAGCCGCCAGCACAAGGCATCGTCGAAGCCTATCCCCAGAGATAGAGTTAGTGCATTTTCACAAAGCTGGGTGAAAATATAAGGTCGTACCTGCTCAGGACAGCCGTGTCAGACTGGACCTCGTCCGGCCGGGGCTTGAGGCTACGTGAGGGCGACCTTTTTGGTTGGGTGGTGGTTGAGGGATCCAACGACCATACCCATGGCCACAGATAAAGAGCAGTAATGGTAAGGGAGGTCTCCAGGCAATTCGACAAGGTCCTTGTGGAGCAGAACCATTGCCAAGGACTCACGATGGTCAATGCCAGCTATATTCTGCGATTAGTCCTGATGAGATGTATGCTGGCTGGAGATCTGAGACATACTGCAGCCCAGGCCTCGTGAGACATAGGATCATACACGCGACAAGCCAATCGCCAGGTATATAGGTCACCAACGGCAGCGATAACGGCTTGGGCAACCTTGGGGGCGACAACTAGGCATTCCGCTTGCCATGCAGGGGAAATGTGGAGTAGGCGAGCGAGCAGATCGGTGGTGGCATAAACAGCGGTAAAGAGAAGAGGGTGTAGGGAAGATCTCAGCTGGTGGCGCCATTCCTGCACAAGGACGTCGTCATTGATTATTAGTCTTGCAGAGCCCCAGCAGATTGGCTGAAGAGTTGTGATGATGACACCGGGTTTCTTGGAAGATGCAGGGAGGTACAGAGCGGAATGCTCCAATGGAAAGGGAGAACTCACCCAAGTGATCCAAGGCGCATGGTCGTCTCCGAATGCGGCCCGCCAAGCGGGCTCGAGAGATTGGAAGAACTCATCGGGTTGGAAGAAGGTCCGAACGGTCCAAGCGTTGACCAGACGGAAGGCGACGAGGAAGAGGAAGATGCGAAGCGAGGATGGCGGGGTGGAAAGGAGGAAGGCGGAGGAGGAAGATAAGGAGGATAAGGAAGGGAAGAAGGAGGAAGACAAAGAGGATGATGGCCTCAGGTGACCAGAGCGGGAGGAGGAATCATACAGAAGAGAGGCATCGGGATCGGAGACATCAGCGTCGGCGATGTAGTCGCTGTCCGATAAGGATGAGGGGGAGGAAAAGGAGGAGGCTGTTGAAGAAGAGGCTCTCCGCCGACGACGAACCCCAGACATAATGGATGATCGGGGGAATTATTTACTAGTCAGGCACAAAACACCCCAGATTTTCTGGGATGATTAAGTTATGGATCCAGGGATGAAAAATGACGATAGTGATGAAAGTGGTTGGGTGGATTGGGAAGGTACCACGGCGTGCAGCACTAGTTCAGTGCAGCCACTAGTCACTAGTCACTATGTAGAATAGTTACTAGTAGTGACTTTCTTAGTAGTACGTAGTAAGTAATAGTCACAGTGAACTGCCAAGTTTTACAGGTCACGATAAAACTGCCATCTTTGTTGGTTTAGTTTGTTTACAGGGGGAAAGCGGAAAAGGAAAAGCAGAAGATACCACTTGGTCCCTTTCTCAGACAGCCAACCAACCAATCAATCTCGCGTTCTCAGTCTGGACTGGGTCGGACCGATAACAAGCGTCGAGATCCGCTCCGTGGGTCTTGAGAGTTGAGTGGGAGGAGAAGAAAAGAGTAATTGTCGGGATGATGAGTGGCTGCCCAGAACCTCCAAGGAAGGCGGCCAGAAAACGCAGGCCACCAGGAAGTGGAGCGGAGCCGCCCGCCTTAGTCAGAAAGACATCATGATCGCTTCCACCTGCACTTAGGAGTCTTCTCCGCGTCCACCTGCGCTTAACGGTGTAGCTTCGGCCTCGCAAATTTCCTGTCTACCACAATTCGTCTGTTTGCCAGCCAAATTGGTAAAAAGCCTTCCTGTCACTGCTGCACTCCTCTCCTCCCCTGCCTCGACCCTTCTTATACCGTGTCTTTCCCCCCTTCTTCTTGCTTCGTCTGTTCTTTCTTACTTATCTTATACTTCCCAGATACCCCCTCAGTCCTTCCTCTTCCTCTCCTACTGCTCTCACATCTCTCTTCCTCTCCCACATACTAGCCTCTCATAGCCTCTCATCCTCTGATCACTGCTCCTTTAAATTGTCCCTGATTCTTTTCTCAAACCATGGCGTCCAACGGTACCAATGGAACTAACGGCCACAATGGCGTCAGTTCCTACCATGCCTCCACTACTCAAGAGGCCATCCAGGCTGAGAAAGACTTCGCTGCCCACAACTACCACCCACTTCCCATCGTCTTCGCTCGTGCCCAGGGCACCACAGTCTGGGACCCCGAGGGTCGTCAATACCTCGATTTCCTGTCTGCGTACTCCGCTGTCAACCAGGGTCACTGCCACCCCAAGCTGGTGGCGGCTCTAGTCGATCAGGCCTCCCGTTTGACTCTCAGTTCTCGTGCCTTTTACAACGATGTCTTCCCCCGGTTTGCCGAGTTCGTGACCAAGTACTTTGGCTTCGACATGGTCCTGCCCATGAACACCGGTGCGGAGGCGGTCGAGACCGGTATCAAGATCGCCCGTAAGTGGGGTTATAAGGTCAAGGGCATTCCTGAGAACCAGGCGGTGGTCCTGAGTGCGGAGAACAACTTCCACGGACGCACAGTAAGTACCGGAATATCGCCCTGTGTAATTGAAATTTGACCCAGACTGACCGGTGTTCCCTGGTTTAGTTCGCTGCTATCTCCTTATCTTCTGACCCCGAGTCGCGCGAGAACTATGGCCCTTACCTGCCCGGTATCGGCTGCACCATTCCCGGAACGGACAAGCCTATCGCCTACAACGATAAGGCCGCCTTGCGGGAGGCCTTCGAGAAGGCGGGTCCCAACCTCGCCGCCTTCTTGGTGGAGCCCATTCAGGGCGAGGCTGGAATTGTTGTCCCCGACGAGGATTACCTGCAGGAGGCCAGAGCCCTGTGCGACAAGCACAACGTTCTGTTGATCTGCGATGAGATTCAGACTGGTATTGCCCGTACTGGTAAGCTGCTCTGCCACGAGTGGAGCGGCATCAAGCCTGACATGGTGCTGCTGGGCAAGGCCATCTCCGGTGGCATGTACCCCGTGTCCTGCGTGCTGGGCCGCAAGGATGTGATGCTCACCATCGAGCCGGGCACCCACGGTTCAACCTATGGAGGTAACCCGCTGGCCTGCGCGGTCGCTATCAGAGCCCTGGAGGTCGTCCAGGAGGAGAACATGGTCGAGCGCGCCGAGAAGCTCGGTCACGTATTCCGCGACGGTCTGCAGGCCATCAAAAGCCCCATCATCCAGACGGTGCGCGGCAAGGGTCTGCTCAATGCTATTGTCATTGATGAGTCCAAGACCAACGGCCACTCTGCGTGGGACCTCTGCATGCTGCTGAAAACGAAGGGGTTGCTGGTAAGTTAATGCGGTCGCCTTGAATTTCAGGTCAAATACTAACCTCCCCTCCAGGCTAAGCCGACTCACGAAAACATCATCCGCCTGGCACCGCCTTTGGTGATCACTGATGAGGAGGTCCAGAAGGCCTTGGACATCATCAAGGAAGCCGTCAACGAGCTCCCCACGCTCACCGGCGCGGCTGAGGATGAGGTCATTCCCCCTCCGGAGAAGAAGGTCAAGGTCAGCCTCGAGAACTAGAGGCCAGACACAACGGAGGTGACGGATGGGATCCTAGTGGCAAATGCACTGGGATGAACTTGGTACATCGACGCAACCGCGACAGCGCCTGAAAATCGTCAGCACCTGAGTACGGTTTATTCCGACCAGGGACGATGCCTTGTCGTGTCGACCAGAGGACTCGTACGGGCGCGGGAGATTTGACTCTTGTCGAAAAAGCCCAAGCATGAGTGATGCGGTTGCACACCGTCTCTGCCACCTCGTGTGAGATGCCCTGAATTCGTAGCGCCAGTTGGATATCAGTCTTTAGATGGATGAAAGTTGATGATAACGCTTGATGACCATAAGAATCAAAATTCTAGCCTAGAATGAATTCAAAGCGAGTGTTTTCCCTCATATCATTTAGAATCTTTGACATGGTTGTAGTTGAAAGAAAAGAGCACACGATGTTCGATGATGCCGCATATGTAGCCGCCCCCGCGCTTCTTTCCCCTCTTTCTCTTCCCCTTTTCCCTCTCCCGTTCCTGACCTTCCGATTGCTCCCCATTTAATCCCTCTAGTCCCTGTCGCCATAATATATCCCGCATCAAAATACTACTCGTAAAAAATACCTCCATACTAGAAAATTCATTCCTTTCCCAATAATAAAGCCGTGCTTGACACTCGACCTCTCCTCTCCTGATCCGCACCCCCTTTCTACTTTTCCTATCTCATAATGGACGAGTAGCGTGTTGCACAGAGAAATGGGTATTGAGGCATTACTATTATTATACAGTATCTACTTTCATCTTTCTATTTTGATACTTATCCTTATATAATACTCATCGTCACCTGTTCTTCATCAAGATTCCATCCAATTTTCTTTTATCCACGATGCCAAGATGTTTCTGTTTCTCGCTGGTGGGTGGTCTTTGCCTGAGGAGATTAATGTCAGCCTAGTCAGCAAGGGGGTTAGCAGTACTTAGACAGGGAGAGGAAGGTTAATTCAAATGTTAGTCGGAGGAGTACTAAGTAACTATCTCGGAGGATTTTTTTTCTTACCTTGTGGTTCTACTACTCATCAATGGTTAGACTTAGAAATATTGAGATATACTAAGTAGTATTAGAAATCGATTGTTTGATTTACTCAGGTACTATTCCTGAGTTTGTAAGTCTGATCAGTTCGTGTCTCCCATATGGGACAGAGAGTAAATGCTTTTAAGAAGGTAGATAGCATCTATCCATCCATCCATTAAGGCTGACGCATTGTGTAATAAGGCCACTAGCACTCACTCCCAGGACCCCTCCCTCAGAGCAGGAAGGATGGTACTACGACATTCTCCAAACCCGAATTTACCCCCCGTGAGACGATTAACGCACCATCCTTCCATGATGACTTCGTCTCCGTCTGCAAGGAACTCGAGTCCGTCCTTGCTGGCTTCGGAGAGGATATTTCTCTTCAGTCCTCGCTCTAGGAGGCAGGCTACTCCGATTTGTTCGCCTTGGGCGTTGAGGCGCTTTTATTGGTTGTTAGTTAGTGTTGTATAAATCTATATAGTAATATGATGGTAGAGAACAAGGGGGATGTTACATACATCGCTGGTTATGGTGCCCGTGCCGAAGATATCTCCGGTTGAGAGACCCTCGCCTGCACTACAGAGATGGGTAACCTGTTGGAACGGAGTCCAGTAAAGCTCCTTTAGATTTGTTTCTGTGACAGTGTAGGATTTTCCGTTCCCTGTGTATCTCTCAGTATCGTGTGTCATGGTGGCCAAGGCGGGGACGATGACAAGGAGCGGTGAGGGGAAGTCTTACTGATAACCCTCGCTTTCAATTCAATGTCGAATGTTGCCTCGCTTTCCTTGCCCTTCCATGCTAGGTGTCTCAAGGGTGCCGGGTCCTGTACCCTCGCATTACAGTGTGACCCCTCCAGTGCCTCGATAGGTACAATCCATGGTGAGATGCTCGTTCCCGAGCCCTTGCTGTGGAATGGGCCCAGTGGTGCCATCTCGTATGTCTGGATATCCCTTGCAGACCAGTCATTCAGGATGACCAGTCCGAAGATGTGGTCCTTTGCGTTGTTGATGTTGAGGATCTCGCCTGGGGGGAGTGGATGGGATAGGTAAACGCCCATTTCTAACTCAAAGTCGAAGCGTGCGCTGGGTCTGAAGGCTGGTGGATCGTTGGGTTTGTTGGAGTCGAGCGTCACGCCCCAAGGCCGTCGAATGGGAGTACCGGAGATGCGGAGACTGCTTTGCCGTCCGTTGTAGACAGAGGGAATGACAAACCATGAGGCTGGTGGCTTCATGGAGAAGAGTTCGGAGCACTGGTGTTATGAGTGTCTGGATGTAGAGAATAATGATGGGGTAGACGTACGTTTCTGGTGTGTTCGAACGAACAGTAAAAGTCGCTGAAGTTCTTGGTTTCCATTGGGAGGTGGTTTTGCACTTCTGAGAGGGGAATAGCATATTTCTTGCGGATATCATTGTCGGAGAGAAGGTCGACAAGCGCTGCTCTGGTCTGTACGTGGGCTTCTTTGGGAAGAGAGGCGAACTTGTTCAAAGTTGGCTGTAGAGAGATTAGGCCTTGTTTATGAGAAAATCAAGGAGGGACTGGTGTCTATCAGATACCGTTGAAAAGACTTCGCCTTTGAATCCCGGAATCGACTTGAAGTATCCATCTTGTTCAAGTGCACTCAGATCTATGACATCGTCCTCCAGAACAGTCGCGCATCTCGGATTTGGTGTCTCCGCGGTGGAGATTACACCGTAGGGAAGGTTGTCGATGGTGAAGGGCGTCTCGGTTAGGGTCATTATGCCTTAAGAAGTTAATTCTAGTGACAGGTAGGAGCTTAGAAGCTTACGAACAGGAGAATATTTATCTCATGCTGAATGAGGGGTGCTTGGGTATCACTGCAGCAAGTGCGACTCGAGAGGGGACTGGAGCTCGGACCAGCTGCACGACCTATGCATTGTTCATTGTTAACTTTTTTCCGATAGCAACGAAGTAACTTCATCGCGATGAGACCTGCAATCAAGGGACAGATATCTTATCTGTACAATATGGTGCTAGTCGAAGTCAAACTTCAAATCTTAGTATCTTCAGATGCAAGGGGCTCACCAGCACCACCGCCATCATGAATCTCGATCGAAGCAGGATACAATCTCTCAACCACCAACTTTGCGACAATGTTCGATGAGGAGAAGACCCAGGAGGTTGTTCATGGCCTCAAAACCACCCCTGAGGGGCTCGTGCTCGACCCGCAGCCATCAGACGACCCTAATGATCCCTTGGTATATTCTTTGTCAAGAGTTTGAGCGAACAAAATCTGACGAAACTAGAACTGGAAGCCCTCGAGAAAGGCGCGTGTACTTTCGATATGGGCTATTGCTTGCTTTTCGAGTCAAGCCACTGCTATGACGAACATGCAGGGATCATATCTCCAAGCACCCCTGTATCACAAGACGGCTACTCAGATTTCTCTCTCCGTAAGTAACACACATTAATATAGCAACATGTTACTGAGAGTAAGAGGTCTCATGCGGGCTCATTGGGATAATGGTCTCCTCTATCCTAGTCGTCCCTCTTAGCCGTAGGTACGGCTCCTGCTTCTGTCTTTTCTGGTCAACCATAGGCATCCTTTTCAGCTCTGTATGGTCTGCCATGATGACTAGTCCATCGGATTACATTCCGTTCGTGATCTCTCGTCTCTTCGCCGGTCTCTGCGCAGGGGTACCTTTAGTCCTTGGCTCCGAGTTCGTCTTGCGGACTTACTTTCGGCATCAGCGAGGTAAATGTCTGCATATACTTCATATCCCCTTCCTCTTGGGGGTTGCAATTGGCCCAACATTAGGTGCATATGTTGATGCGAGAGCTTCGTGGCCTATCTCTTTCTGGTATACTGTACCCATGAATGGGGTGTTGGCTCTGTTGATCCTTGTCTTTATTGAAGAGACAGCATTTGCGGGGGGAGAACAAGTGCGGCAATCCTTTACACAAGAAAAATGGAACATGTATATCCGTGGAAGAGCGGTTCCACCACAGCTTAGAGCAAGCTGGAAGAACATGGTGAGTCTTATTCTTACCGCATCATCAGCACTCGTGACTTAGGCTGATATTCATAAGGCATCCATTCTTCTGGATATCTTCCTAGTGTCTTTTTCTCCTGTGTCAATAATCGTAGGTTTCTTCATGATGGTAGACTTTGGCTTTGCTTCAATGGCCATTGTCCTCGGTGTCACCTTCGTTGAAGCCCCTCGAGACGAAGGTGGATACGCAATGTCAAAGATTTCGATGGCTTCATGTACGTCCCCAGTCTCCCCCTAATTCATTTCGACCGTTAACCTGAGAACCACAGTCACGCTCACCCAAGCAATCGGCACCGCACTCGCGGAATTATACGGCCACTTCATCAGCGACAGACTTCCTTTATACCTGTTCCACCGAAAGTCCAAGTCGCAGGATATTGAACCTACAGAATGGCGCCCGGAATACCGGCTTCACTGTCTCTGGGTCCCAGTGATAATGCTTCCCATAGGCCTTGGCCTATTTGGTGCTAGTTTAGAGTACCATTACCATTGGGTGCTTTTGGCACTCGGGTTTCTTCTCCTCACTTTCGGTGCCATCTCCCTTCTCCCGGTTGCAATGACGTATCTCTGTGAATGTTTCCCGAACCACGTTTCAGAGGTGTCGGCAGGGATGGGAGTTTGGAGGCTTATCTTGGGAGTTCTCTCGGCTGTCTTCATCGCCCCATGGAACGATAGAGTTGGTCCGGGATGGGTGTTCGGCTCTGCTGGGCTGATTACGCTCCCAGCTTTTGGAGGTGTGTTAGTCCTCATGGAATTTGGGAGACAGGTGAGGCAGATGGGGATTCGTAGATTGAGAAGTTGACGGGGAGTTGCGTTTTGGGTTTGGGTAGATCAGCCATGGTGAAGCTGGATATATCCCGAGTTTTGGGACATGTGTTAAGGGATAGAAGGTATCACTAAACCGATAGATGGGTGTCAGGCGGAATTTAATTGCGTTCATTCTCGTCAGGAAAGCGGCTAGGAACCACTTCATTATAATCAGGTGACTACGTCCTCGTGCCTTTTGTGTTTGTAAGTAGTCACCCATCTTATAGTTTAGAACAAACAGAGCTCTTGCTTCATAACAAAAGCAGAATACGATTCCAACTTGAAGCCCCTCTAAATACCTCACCATACCACACCATGCTAAACCAAACACAGATAAGCCCCTCCCTCCCTACCACGCACAATGCCCCCCATCAATGCGCAAATCCGCACCCGTCATAAAACTACTCCCATCCCCAAGCATGAAAAGCACCGGTGCCCGGAACTCATCCGCCGTACTCAACCGAAACAGCATATTATCACCCACCCACTGGCTCTCCATCCCTGGCTTCTGAAGCGCTTCTGCGGTGGCCGCAGTCCGAATATACCCAGGTGAGAGCGAATCGACCCTAATCAAAGGCATTCCAACCCTCGATCCCCACTCAGCAGCTAGAGACCGCGTGAGTTGATGAACGGCCGCCTTGGAGGCATTGTATCCGGCTGTATCGACGCCCTATTCCCAAGTACCATGTCAGCCCACTCTCTCACATAACCAGAGAAAACATTGGCCCAACCTTATTCGACACATAGCCACTCATACTAGCCACAAACACCATGCTGCCGGTAGTATTCGTCCTGAGCATTTCCCGGGCCGCCGCCTGCGCAATGAGAAACGTTCCCGTCACATTGATATCTAGCATACGGCGAAACGATGAGACGGGGAATTCGGTTGCGGGGCCATTCCTGGATAGGCCTGCGCAGGCGACAAGACCTTTGAGCGGGTATCGCAGGGTAGGGATGAACTGGGTGAAAGTTTTTTCTACACCGGATTCGTCCGTTACGTCGAGGGGGTAGTAGGTTAGTTGGCGGGTGTGAGTTTGCGCGGCGGCTTCGACTTTATCTGTAATCAGACGCTAGTTAGAGGCACTCCCCTCTTTGATTAAGTTAAGATGGGGAAGTACGTACTCCAATCCGGAGAATTCGGGACGGGTGAGAGATCAAGACAGACGACATCACCGCCGCTTTCGAGGATCGCGATGGCCAGCGTGGTGCCTAGGAAGCCGGTAGCGCCGGTGACTGTATGGAAGAGTTGCTGTTAGCAGATCCAGGCAATACACTAAATACGGAATCCAAGAGATATACTGATGATAGTGCGATTGTCAAGACGAAAGAGATCAGCGACAGGACGAGAGGGATCTCCCTGCGAGGGTTTTGCTTCACGGAACTCAGGGCTGTGGACGTTGCAATCGCTTTTCATGGCCATGATGAGCAGACAAAATGCAGAAAAGAGAATATGTGGTGAATCCCAGGTCAACAGAGGCTATTTGTTGTGTGTAAGTGGAATCACAGAACCCAGTGTCTTTCTATACTCCTAACCCCGCATAATGAGGGGTTATCCTCACTACTACTGTACTTACTGTACTTCCTTTTCCCCCAATGTGCATGTCGCATCTGTGCTCCGTCATACGCATGGCACTACGTAAACTGGACACGGCGGGTATGCGGCCCGCCTAATCCCCATTGCCTGAGCTACTGCGTAAAGTGGAGTAACCAAGAGATTTTGGTTCCCACTCCTCAAGTTCCTATCCGCTTATCCCCACCGGTGCCGAAGGGTGCAGCTTACGGCCCGACCGCGAGTTATGGTATGGTCGGACTTCGAGTTGGTCCTGAAGTTGATTTTCTTCTGGACTGCATGTCTTCGCATTTGTGTGGTGTCTTCTTCTATATGCATCCTTTTTTATTTTCTTTGTATCTTATTTCCCTCCGGTGCGAGATGTCATGGACAATACTTGCGGTGCGGCTTGGAAGCGCCATCGCAACAATAGGAATTTTGAGCTACTAGTAATGCTTCTACCTTCTCTGATCTTCAGACATAGAGTAAAGTACTATAGGTAGATAACTGGTATTTCATCTCATGAGGCATTATGAGGGTTCAAGACGTCAACAATGACACTAGCAAAAGCCACTAAGGTTTGACAAACACTCTGCTCTTTCCAGCATAGGCCGCTGCAACTTATTCCAACAACAACAATCCATATCAAACCAGTACAGGCCTCACCCAGCAACCTAAACATGAATTTTGAGCGACCCAAGGGCACTACCCAAGCAATCCGCCTCCCCCTTCGGTCCATCCGACAAGTCCATCAAGTCGTCCAAACACCCAACGTCCCCAGAATCCGGAAGAAGCTGATCATCGCAACCGGTGGTAGCAGTCGTAGCTACCTCCTGTAAGCGACCATCAGCATTGCCAACAACAAAATTGGCTTTCTCACATTGTGCGTCCTCATCCACGTCCATTTTGGCCTCTCCCAGGACCTCGCCACTCTCGGAACTCGGTGGAGTCTGCTCAGGCTTATTTGTACCACCCTCGAGCGTAGAGCCTTCACCACTACTCTCGCCATGATGAGCTATCACATTGGCCTTTTCAGCAACTCCTGGTGGCACAACTATCTTTCCCTTGGTATTATAGAAACGGGCGATAAGTTCCTCATGCTCCGATTCCCAGCGCTTTATATTTCGTTTAGCGAGCATTATGTTTCTGGTGAGTCGCTGTAGTTCACGTCCCTGAATATTGCCATGATGCATACATGAGCAGCTGGTTTCAATGTATAGATAGAATGGCGTGGCATACCGCGTCAGCCATGGTCATATTCTCGATAGGCGCTCTTGGACGATCGGTCTGGTCTGTTTCATATCTCTTTTTGTAGGATCTCTGGAGAAAATATGAGCCAGAGTTTGCGGATAAGTTGGTAAAGAACAGCACATGGAGTTTCTCACTCTAGGAGGCATGATTAAAAATGAGGATCGCCGACGTCTGGTGGATGGAGTGTGATGATTATAGGTGTATAAGGATATAGCTGATATTCAAGCGAGTGTAATGCCGTGCAGCAAATAATAGGTAAATGAAACGGTGATGAGTAGAGTGTAAGGATGGTTTCAGAAATATGATGAAGAATGTAGCTTAAATTGGCGCAAGAGAAGGAAGGTGCTCTCGTGTTCTTTCTCTATCAAAAGGGTTCGTGTACCCCTTCACCACGGTGATCTGTTTGTTTCGGGGCTTAGGGTAAACGGGTTGAGTGTGTGAATTCCATCAATGAGCGTGATAATATACCGTGCTATACGTATATTTGAGTATATAGGTTGCCAAGGCGGATCGTAGAATGAGAGTCAGTGGTCATGCCTCCGGCGGCCATGGTTGCTTAGCTGGAAAGGGGCCTTCTCTCGGATCAATACTGAGCTTTATGTATGTTTAGCCATTTCCATAGGCATATAGTAGGAAGGCTGTCGCGTTATTCACGACTGTACTCCCATCTGTCACTGGTATACATTGCATTAACAATTCCAGGCATCCGCATAAAAGCATAATTACTCCAGTGTATGACAAAAGTAACTCGTCTTCACAAAGTATACTATAGCTTCTTGTGTGAATTTATAGTGAGGTTGAGGACCGTATAGAGATGAATGAAAGATTTGATTAAACTGATTAATATAATGATGTTGCTTGCTACTTCAATATCAGAAAGAGGGGATCCTTTATAGGCGCAGATGCGTAGTAGGCTACCTACCTGTTGTTTTTGTGGGATAGTGCCGATCCTGCGTAGGTAAGATCCCTGGGTATCTCCGACAGACCAGATCCTCACAGCAAAACGTCACCATCACCATCATCAGCCACAATTCACGGCCCAATCAACCAGTTTCTCGTGGTTGCTGACAAAGTATGTTAGACTTGGACACATGAAGGAAAAAAGGATTATTGATGTATCGTCGTATTTGGTAGGAGCCTATTCTCACGACCCAAAAGACTATGTGTAAAAGCCTGTAACATCGCTCTCTACTACCACTGCTATTTTGGAATGAGGCAGAGTAAGTCTAATGAATAGTTGGAATTAAGAATTAGTAAATTTGAGCTACAAATGTTGAGCTGCAAGACTTTTTAGATAGACTGTGTGCGAGCATCTTGACGATTTGTCAGCTGATTCTGGCGACTGCAATCTACTATGCTCCATTAGTGGCATCGAACAAACATTTGCCAGCAAGGTACAACTGTGCCGTGCAAATAACAAGTTTGTTATAACAAGATCAAAAATATATGCTTTCAGCTAACATGCACCCTGTAAGCAAATGCAAAAATGGTACTCGGTAAATCCTGCAGAACGAAACAAAGAGAAGCACATATGAGACGACCAGTAAAACCGTCAGACAAAGTGGAGGCATGCAACATCTGCAGACACCACAAGAGGCAAAAGCCATGGTCACCTGATCTCTTTGTACTCTTCTTGTACACTGATTTTCGCGAGTCATGTTTCATGTTGCCGCGGGAGCTACTTACTTGCTACAGCTGGAAGACCCAACTGCCGTTCTATTGGTACAAACCCACAGCTAAAAGCAACCTACTATGACTAAAACTTCAAGCTCTAGGACCCCTACTAACGGCATTTTCGGGATGATCTGCATTTCTATGTCAGGTTAGCTGTCATCCATCAAACTCCGCTATCGTTGCCGGTACATCCGACATGTTCCTAGGGCATCAATACAGGGTAAAAAGCACATCACTAGGTCTAGCACTCCCACTCAAGCATTAAGAATAGCATTCTAGTCTACTATTGGATATTCTCCCTTATTCAGGAAGCTTAAAAACCCATAAATCCGTCTCCCGAGTGGCCAGACATCCCGACATGGTCGTGCATCTAGTACTTAGTACCCGACAAAGCAGCAAGAGCTTAGATAAGACAAAGAAAAAAAGAAGAACCTTCTTAACTAATCACCAGCAGGCAGGATCAAGGCACGCACGAATAGGATCAACCATCGGAATTAAACAAAGGTGACTCGGAGTCAGTAAAGTAAGTAGGACCCAGCCCATCGGAGTAGATCCTGAATCCACACCTACCTGCCCACCGAACCCAGCAGAAACCTACTACTAACAACACCTGCCCTTCTACAGGGAGGTACATCTCAGTACACCGAGATCATCCCATAAGAAGAAGTACTACACCGGTACCCACGAGGGCAATCCCACCACCACCACCACCACCGACCCTCCCGTCCACAACCCACCGAACGAATAATAGATGGAAGTTCCCCCCAAAGCAGTCGCCACCCGGCAGCGCGGGCGAACAGCTGATCTGAGGTTCGAGAATAATCTTGGCGCTTGCTCCTTTACCCTTTCCCGCTGTGATGTACCCAGTAGTTAGGATAGTAGGAGGGAAATATCTGGCTGCCTAATGGCGAGAGTGGGCCTGGAACCTGCTCGCTGTGCGCTCCGTTTGGAGGATGGCTTGCTGTAGGCGTTCGGGGAGGGCTGGGCTTTAAATATAAGCTTATTTGGACGACTTTTGATGCTATACACCTGGGTTCGATGGTTTCTTTGTCGTGGTGGTGATGTTTCTATGGTCATGAAGGGTACGGAGGAACGCGGAAATTGTTGCCGATTCAGTGTGGTCACGTGCTGGTGTGTTTTTTGTGAGGGTAGGGTTTTTATTTTATTTATTTATTTATTCCTTGGTGATAATATTTTGTTTGATAAAATTTGGTTTTGATTATCGTGGTAATTTGTCTATCTTCGGGCTTACGAGAGAACGAGCGACACTAAGCGAAAGCATGCATTCTCTGGGTTTCTCTCTCTCAAGGATTACTGTTGGTGTGACTGCCGCGCTGGAGGATAGAGTCGGAGCCAGAGTGGAGCGAAGTGGGTACTGTCAATATAGCGCAAGGGAGAAAAAGGCACTAACAATGAAAAAAAAGCGCATGATGTTCATTGCGAATACCACATAAGACGGAAGAATCCGCCTCTTCTTGTTGTCCCACGTAGTATCAAAGCGTGCGACGATCCATGACGGCATGACACACGAGGGACAAAGAAAAGGTCGGACCACTGGGCTGCACCTGCACGAGCAAGGATAACGGGTGTGATAATGGCCAGGCCAGGCCAGCCACGTCATTTCCAGATTGGCCTACACGCGTAAGAGTAATCAATCCATCAATCTAGCCGACTCCGCAGGATGGACTTGCATCCCACGACTAAGTATATGCGACTGTCAATCCATGCTACATGAGGTAAATACGACGAGATCTCTTGTCTCCAACATCCCCGGACGGTTGGCTGGCAGTGAGAATTGAGAACATGCCAATCTCCCTTCCCCTCCGCATTAAACTGTGGATGACCTTGTGATCATCGCGCAGTGACTTCGAGTATGTCTCCACGAGCTGATGACGACGAAGGCGATCGGTGAAAAAGGTTTCAAAATCCAACACCAACGGGAATTTGCCTTCTACGTGCCGCAAACCCCGATCCGAGGGACCCTAGAAGTCGCTAGAAGAATAGGAAGAATGGAACGCTTCTTACCAAGACAAAGTCTGACACAGGAGGCCAGAGAGACGGAGATGGGCCGGAGCCAGGAGATACGGATACGGAAGACCAGCGGACGAGCGAGATGAAGAGTTTAACGGAAATACGGCCAGAAGAGCGAGGCGCGGGTGGGGCGGATGCTCGGGTGGGAAGTCCGAGGCGCGGTGAATTGCCTGATCCAGTCAGAAGCCGTCTGGTTCGAGAAAAAAAAAAGATGCGATCGTTAAGAAAAATTTTGCAAGACCACTCGGGAACCATAGGGCCTGAACATGAGGGATAATCGAGAAACTCTTGGGTAATACCTATCATTGTCCTCCGTAGGTAGGGAACCGACAAATGGATCGTCAATAGCTCCTCACTTCAAACAATCGCCCCTTCGTTCAAAGCCAAGCCGTGGCAACATCCCTATAGGGCAGAGGTAGGCGGAACTGGCAAACCAAGCAGCGAATTTTAGTCTGGCTCATAAAAACTTGGGTATGAAGGCCTTCGAGATCATAATTCGAAGTGGTCCGGCTTCGGGAGCGTTGCTTGTGAGGAGAAGTAAGCATTGATTGCCAAGGCCGTGCTCATTTTGCACGGCGGGTGCCCATTGATCAGCTCATCCGTGAATGGGCCTTTGCATTCCACTACGCGATGGAGACAGCTTGGCGCGCCAGGAACAAATAAACGAACGGCTCGGGCTCGGTGTATAGACTAGAGAGCTGATAGCCTTGGTGGACACCGTCAGCAAAACACCCTGGACGGATCACGGCACTAGTCAATGGTAGTGGTGGGTGCTAAGAAATTATGTACTGTGGTAGTGGTACACAGTAAGTACCCTGGGAAGTGGGTTACCCAGCTCCTCTACAACACTAATTCTCTACTAGCTCCAACACTAGCAGCTCCCTGAACCATCGCATCACTCCATGAAGACAACCACTATTAGTTACCAGTCAAGCTGTTAGGCAACGGCTCTGCTGGTAAAACTCCGGGAGTCTAAGTGTAGTTGTTACTGTCAGGCTCGCTTGCAGTCAATTAATGGTGAACAAATTATCCGAAGTACAGTACATCCCAGTGGCATCACAGTAGCTCTGGTGATCAGAGGGGAGAAGAGGTCCGTGATGTGGCCGGCAGACCCTTGACTCATTCCAGGGTCGATAATCTAGTCGAAAACTAAGAGTTAACGTGCGTAGTAGCGACAGCTCCTCCTCCTCTCCCAGCAAATAGTTTACCGCCAAACTAACAGGGGGGGCTGATTCCTGTGAGGAGATGACCCTGCCGCCGTAGTCCAAGTAGTGGTAGCCGTTATTCTCCAAAGGCAAATCCCAAACAACGGAGCCAGAGCCAACGCGCATCGCCCATGACTCTCCTCCATTCTCCATCCTCCGGTTCGTCGCTGCCGTCCCTTCCCGTGCTGCTCTGGACCTGCCACTTCCGACTCTTCCGATGCTTTCCAGATCCGGTG